CTTGAAAGTCCGTTCCAAGTTTGTGTTCCCCACTCCTTCCCCCCGCTTTCTGGATTCATCTTTATGCAAAAGGCTTCAGCTGAGAAACAGCATCCGGCATATCTTCGTGTAACAGCCGGCAGTGATGCACGGTCAAGTCGCTCAGGCGGGAGCCTGCCGGAATGCAAATGGGCGGTGGGAGTGAGCGGGCCCAGACTCCTTGCTCACAGGCTGGGGTAGCTCAGGGACCTTGCTTGGGAAAGGCACCCAGGCAATGAGTGTCCTGTCCCAAGTATCTGCCTATCGGAAAGGCAGGCGTGGGTGTCCTGTTTAAGCCAGAATTTGGTAACTGCCGATCAGGATGCACTGCAGCCAAGCAAGAAAGACTGGGCTGGGACCAAACATTACTCCCAAAATCCTTCAGGTGGATTCCATCCTCAACGTGGTTTGACTATTAAATTGGCAATGACCCAGGCCTGATCGAAACCATTGTTTTGTCATTGCAGTTATTCCTGCCACAACACACGATGCACCCTGGTTTCCATTTGCCCTATGGTTTCTGGGGTGTTTTAATCTGGAATGTGCGTAAAGATTTTTCTCCTTATTACAGTTCCCATGTGGAGTCCATGGGCACGTGTGTGCTGTCTTGAGGATAGGTTGAACAGTCCAGGAACACGGGAGGTAGTCAATTATTTTGTGGGGGTGGGAGATAATGTGCATGGCACTCCAAGGAAGTGGCCCTTTGGGGTGATGAAGAAGCTCTCCACCATTTTTATTCGTGCTCTCTGTGTATCTGCCTCCCCACCAAAGACACACGCACTCAGTCCCTCTCGTGTGTGTGTGTGTGTGTGTGTCCTTTCTGCACATCCTTGCAGTAGCAAAGAGCTGCATAAGGGCTGTGACAGGAACACTGCACATGGCACCTCCACTTTACCACTGCTTGAGCCATAAATATTCTTGCACTGGCAAAATAAATAAAATTTAGAGCAACAGCAATGCTGTGGCTGCAGGGCACCGTTTAGCAAGTCATGCTGGTGGCTCTGGGAGCCAAGCAGACATTGCTCAAAAAGGCATGTCCAGCAGCTCTTCCCATTTGTTCTCCAGAGAAGAGGCTCAAACTAAAATGGCCACATCTGGACCTTAAATGCCCCTGACACTAAAGACTTGATCCAGATCTGCGGGACCCTCTAACTTATCCTGGTGTAAAAATGTGGGACAGACATTTCACAAAACAGCAGGCTTGGCTCCTAGGCTCCTTAAAGGAAAGGTAACATTGCAGGGTAGCCTCTAATGAACTTCAAGGGGTAGCAGGTTGGAGAGGGAAAAGGATGGATGGGAAATCCCAGCATTGGCCCCTGCATTTGCACATGCCTAAGCAATCCTTGGGAACCCACTCTGTTACTGCAGAGTTGTCACACAGGAATACCCACACACATGGGTTGTTTGCGTGATCTGTGCTATTGGCACAGAGGTAATTTCTTTAGGCACATAAGACCCAAACTTAGCTGAGCAGCAGGTAGAGGGTGCAAAAGCTGGAGTACAATTGGCCAGAATGGCCATTTATTCAAAAACAGCCATGCAAAAAGAAAAAGAAAAAAAGAGGAAAAAGAAACAGAAAAAAATGTGCATTCAAGAAACTTGGGGGGAATATTTTACAACTGCAACGCAATCAGTATTTCACTATTATGGTTCATGATTCATGGTCCAAACCCATCCAAAATAGAAAGAAACGGCAACTTTCAGGTGAACCAAAGCATCCAAACTCACCAGTGATACCTTGCTGCACGGCCAGGAGGCAGTAAGCCACAGGATGTCTGCAGCAACCGCATTTTGGTACCCATTCTGGAAAATGGCCTGGAATGGCAACTTCCAAGTCAGTCAGATTCACCAGTCATACTGAACTACAATGAACTGTCAGTCTTGGATTGGTTGATCTGTGTACATTTGTCGGGGTGGGAGGAGCTGCAAGCATTGTTGTCACAGGAAACTGAAATACAAAGTAAGTATGGAGAATGAGAACTGCTTTGGCAGATGTTCTTCTCGAAAGCTGTTGCGTGATACATACAATCAATTTGTTAGCGTGTGCCACACTCTCAAAGACTTACCTTTGTGGAAGCCATATGGTCTCTTTTGAAGTAGGGCTTGTCCTCCTATATGCTTATTAATTTTATCTTTAATTATGCTTTCAACCAATTTATCTTGAGCAGCTATTAAGCTAAGCCGCCTGTAATTTCCCAAATTGGCTCTGTCTGGTTCAGAGGGTGATCTTAGGGGCATGGCACATATTCTTGCTAGATAAGTGATTTCAGATTTGAGTTCTTTAGGAATTCAATGAACACTATCTGGGCTGGGTAATGTATACACTTCTAGTTTGTCAAGAAGACTTCTGCAGAATTTCTGTGGTTTGGCGCCTCAGTCCCATCCAGGCAGATGGGATTGCTGAGTTAGGTTGATTTGGCTAGCTTGGAAGTTGGTTCACTGATTGTTCCCCTCCCCCCCAAATTCAGATTATTCCTCCAATATGGATCTGAAAAGGGAACCGTTTCTCTAACATTTGCATGACATAGAGCATCAATGCCATACGCATGACTGCTGAAATTAGTTGGCTTTGCTATTTCAGATGTACATGTTCCCCTGGAAGCTTGAACATTACTTGTATTTCTGTGTAAATATTTTGGACTTTTGCATCGGCCTTATATGGCTAGCTGTGACTGGTGAAGTTGGTTAGTTTGATTGATGGGGAAGTGTGTGCTTCATGCATTTTCTAAAATGTAGATTATGGTCCAGAACTGGTGGTGTAATATCTAGACCTTTCTCAGGTTGCTTCATAAGTCCCATCTGTCCCCTTATCAGTGGTGAATTCAGCTGAATTGGTTCACTCAGAAGCTGACATTCCAGATTACTGTCCTGAAACAGAGTATCTTACCTGGTGCTGGGGCTGGGGCTGGAGCTAGGATGTGGATTCTGTAGACGTATCATGGCTTGTTGCAGCCACTCCATCCAGTTCTGCATCACTTATAAATTTGATTAATATGGGTCACTTGGAATTTGCCTTCTGGGCTATTTTCCAAAATACAGACTATTGCCCAGAACAGGTTCCAAAACAGTGTTCTGTGGGGGTATTGTGGGTTATTGCATCCCTCCCATGTACTCATGATAGACTGGTGAATTTGGCTTTTTTTGGCTTACTCTGAAGTTGCCACTGGACTGTTGCTCAGAACAGGTATCTGAATGTGGTTTCTGTTGAAGGTTTGTGGTTCATCATAACCATACCATGCAGTTGTATGTGACTGGTTAGGTTGGCTGACTCAGAAGTTGCCAATCTGAGTGACTTAATGTACTTTTCTCCACTGCCCAGAATAACTGCTAGCATGGACCGTTCCATTCTGTTGTGCAGTATTTTGGAGCATTACAGGAATACTAATATAATTGTGCAAAAGTTTTGATCCTAAAGCATTGTTTCCAGGACTCTAACATATGCCAATGGCTTTAAAAAAATAAATAAAGGGATCATTCCGGCTTTTGCACCACCCCAGCTGCAGACTGACTCATACTTTTTGCAGGGGCTACCATGTTCTTTAGAGTTTGGACAATTTTATTTATTTATATATATATCCTGCCTTTTCCTACAAAGGGCTCAAGGCAGCTTACATCATTCTCCTCCTCCATCTTATTATATTATCCCCACAACAACCCTGTGAGGTAGGTTGGGCTGAGAGGCTGTGACCTGCCCAGTCACCCAGCTGGCTCCATGGCCGAGTGAGGACTAGAACCCGGATCGCCTGAGTCCCAGTCCCAGGCTCTTAACCACTGCACCACACTGGCTCGGGGGGAAGGACAATGGGGGTTAACAATGTCCCGATCCATTTCCTTAGGCAAAAAGTTACTGATCATCTTTCTGTAGAGGGATCTTTGAACACTACACAAGGTCTTACTTCAGTTTTCTTCTCCTTTCTTCTTACACATGCACACAATCACGTATCCTAGAAGGAAAGATGTTGGGCACGAGTCCAGAGAAGGAAAATCTACAGCAGAGGAACTGACAAATCCCAAATGCTGCTAGGTCCAGTGCTCACATACATTCCTCTTTGGGGAGGAGAGATTAGGGGAACAGGAGGCTCCCCTCGATCTGCAGAATGTTTTTAGCCTTTTGTTGTTAGTGGAGGAGCAACAGCTTCTAAAGGTTGAAACCGCATCCAGAACTCCTTCTGTGTGGGCAGAAGGCTGTTTTCAGAGCCAGACAGTCATCACGTCAAATCCATGCATACTAGCTATGTCTGGTTTGTATTCTTTTCCAGAGTAAGAGCAAGTCACTTGACTGGGACCCAAACACAGAGTGCTATGAGGCCTTTGAGATCCAGGAACCATCTAAGATGAAATACCTCTTCTGGCAGGAGCCTACCTGGACCCCTCAGTGGGCATTTGAGGTCTTCATCCAAGGGGTTCCTCTAAGGGATGCTCAGACGCCGCCAACCAGTGAGAGGGTCGTCTCAGGACTCCCCACCTTGCCAACTATGTACTTTGCCCACGGAGGTCTGGCACCAACCGTGCACTCTTCCCCGGTTGAGAGAGCCCCGTATTCACCATACTGGGACATGGATATATATTTATTTTATTTATTATTTATTAAAATACTTTTATGCCGCCCCATTCACTGAAGCCTATATCAGCTGCTTCTATCAAGCCTGGTATCTTCCCGAAACTGCTTTAGCTGCTTAAATTTTGTATCTTACAGATGTTCTATTCTGGTTATTATCTGTGATGTACAGTTTTTATGACCCATCAACAGTGTTTCAACTATTAGTCAGCACCGAAATGAAATACAGAACACGTGATGTGCCATGCTTAGCTTGTGCAACAGCCGCGCACTCTAATCTTCGCGAAACTGACAACTTCTCCTCAACGTGTGTGGGAAGAAGGCTGCTCTCTAAGCTGGAAGCTATTACAAAGCCTGAAGTTCAGGACGGCAACAGCTTTTATTTACTAAGACACTGAGAAAGAAAATGAAGTAAGCTCCATGGTTTTGGTAAAATATATTTTATTTCTTCAAAGAAATAGTATGAATCAGAATTCCATTTTCCTAGAAACCTCTGTGTAAAATTAATTTGTGTTGTACATACCACAAAATAATTCAATTTACAGTTTTTGCTTGCCATTTGTTTTCCTTTACAAGTATACTAGCCTAAGATGTACCATGTTACAGCAAACACACTCACACAAAATATTGCTAATATCTGGACATACTGCATTGCTGAATGGAACTCAGCCATAAATTAATGTCACAATGTGAAAAAAGGTCTAGCCACACCTCTCAGTTTTGACAGGGTACCCTCTAGTGAACCAACAGAATAGTGAAAGCATCGTATTGAGGTTTGAGTCAGCACTTTCTGTATCATATGATATGGTGCCCTTCATGGCTACCATAAGGTAAGGCCTTTTCAATGAATTGGTTTCATAAGACTTCCATCACATGGGCCGCTCGGCCCCGATCAGCAGCTCGCTCAAAAGTTTAGCGCTGGGACATGTTGCTCAGCTGTCTTGTTTCCCAAACGAACAGGGCTGGTAGAGACACAATGCAAATAAGGTCTGTGCAGCCGGAGGCATCAGGAGCCGAGCCCGGTCCGAGGAGGGGTGTGTGTGTGGGGGGGGGGGGGGCTTTCTGAAGTATGGAGTCTTACAGGGCACCCCTCACAGCCACACCCCCAAGGGCACTCCAAATGGGCAGGCGGGCGGGCGGGCAGCAGCGTGGCCCCGTATCAACAACCCAGCCCTAGCCATCTCCCCCTCCACCAGGAGCAGCCCATCTGCAAAGCTCGGGGTCTTTAACCAAGCCCCCTCCCAGTGCTTTGCCTGATGACAGGCATGGCTCACAGCAATATGGTGCTGCCAGCCCAACCTGCTCCTCCCCTCACGCCCACCCGCTACCGTGCGGGCTGCAGCCGCTTCCAGGGGGAGCAGGAAATTCCGGGGGGGGGGAACGTGGCTCAGCCCATCAACGGGGCACCCTGTGAGCTCTGCCTTCACTGCACCACTGACTCAGGGCAGAAGGCCACTCGGCCAAGCACCAGGCTCAGCGCTCTGCTATGGAAGCGGAGAAACCCCGCAAGGAAGCGCAGGCGAGCCAGGAAGGGGAGGCCCCATCTGGAGCAGGTGCCGTTCAGGGATGGACAATGCCAGAAAGCAGTGTGGCCGGAGCGACCCAAGGGAGCGACGTGCAGGTTCCAGTGGCTTTTCCTAGCACGCGGCTTCACCAGCAGGTGCTGCAGGAAACACCACAAGTCCCAGGATGCACCTCTGAAATTCCACACACACGTGTACACACAGTTTACACATGCACGTGCGCACACATGCGCGCACACACACACAGGGTTTGCATATAGCCCTCTGATAAACCTTGCCTTTAATCAGTTAGTAATTGATTACTTCTCAGCATAAAAAGAAATCTGACATCTACTCCAGAGCAATTCACTGTATGTATGAATTCAGAGTACTTGTGAATCTGTGCTATGCGCACACCCCAGAATTTTGACAGAGAAAGATGCAGTCCAGTTCTGTGGCACATCACCTGTTTCGGGGCAGGCGTAACCAACCCTCGTGCTCCGTCATGGGCTTGCCACAAGAAAGTGGGTGGGCAGTTTGTTCTTCTTGTTAAATGTGCCAAACTTTGGGATGTGGTGAACAACTGCAGGATGCCCAGGAGACATTTCGGCATCCCTCAGGACCCATCTGCATGGGCTGTATTGGGTATGGGGAAAAAAGCTGGTTTGCCACGAAAATTTAGCAGCAAACTTCAGCAGGACTCAGTAGCACTAAAGCAGATATACTTAGCACGTTTGCAGACAGTTTCAATTTGTCCGTTTTAGAATTCTGTATTTGCTACAGAGCACCATTAAAAAAAACCAATTTGGGGAACAGCAGAGGCAGCCGAGTTTGTCACCCCCTCCTTTAAGATATGGCACTCTTTTCATCCCAAGACAGCGTGAGGGGGGAAAATAAGAGGATTGATAGTCTGCTGCAGAATTGGTGGAATTCTTTGGTGAGCTTTGGAAAAGGGATGATACTTGCATCAACACCCAGGCTTCTCGCAATGTGACTCACTTAATGGGCTTCATCAACTGTGTGCATGTACGCACGCATACACACTCGCACACACAGTACAATGTAACACATACGCTTTCAGCTCAGTGCCAACAGCCAATTCACAGCACTGTACTTTGGGCCTAAATTCAGAGCCACTTAAGAAAGCCAAGCTCAAAAGAAAAAGAAAAAAAAGAGGGGGGTGGAAAGAGAGAGAGAGAGAGAAGGAGGTGTGACATTTAATTGTTCCAAGTAAACACTTCACATTTTTCTACAGGGCCAAGTTAAAGCCGGACAAAATATGCATAGTTCTCAGCCCAGGAAATCTGTTTACAGGGAAAGGAGATAAGAGAAACTGTAGGCATCCAGGCAGTAAACCTCAGCTTGTACAAAAGTCTCTGCAAGGAGGAAGAGCTCTAGACACCAAGGCAAACACGTCTCATATCTGGAGAGCCGGCAGCGGCAGCTGTATGGCTGGCGAGCGCATCCCTCGACACATGGGCGCCCCCACCACACCCACCGGTAGAGGCAGCTGCTACATGAAGCCGGCTCTGCACGTGTGAGTTCCATAAAACCCTTCGTAAAACCTACTTGATTACAGAGTCAATGAAAACTGGACTGTGAGTGGATTGACCTCGGAAGAGAAAGAGATGGGAGGTGCTGCCTGAAGGGCCTCGCACAAAAGAAATTTCAATATGCCTAGTACCCGTATTGGAAAAAAAATTGTGCTTTTCTCATTCTCCCTTACCCACCTGCCTTAAAAAGAAATAGCATTCCTCTTGGGAAAGCACCTGGAGGCACTTTCCAGCACAAACTGAACCAGGCAACCAAAGAACACGAGCACAGCGAGATTCAGCACTGTGGAATGTTAAGGACGACAACACAGCTATGAGCTACAGTGTGGTTAGGCAGCTTAGTGAATTAATTGCTTAGGAATTAAAAATAAATTATTATAAAATAGATTTCTGTACATTTTACATATAGACCTATCTACATATATAGGGAGAAGCAAGCGGAAAGACAGGATGAACTCTGGCAAGTGCTGCTGCGTCAGCCTCAATCCCAGCCGAAGTCGTGCCCAGTCATCTGGTAGAACTTCATGTTGAAGGGCCGGTAGAACTCGCGCAGCCGCTGCACCACCCTCTGGTCGATGTTGGGGTGGGTCCGCCCCTTCGTTTTGCCCAGGCAGTGGGGCTTGCTGCTGCCCTCGGCCTTCTTCAGGCAGGGGAAGCCCTTGGTCTTGTTGAAGTAGAAGTGCTTGTCCGTGATGATCCGCTTGAGGCCCAGGAAGTCCTGCACGCGGCCCAGCTCCCCGGCGGGGTCGCTGATGAGCCTCTCGCCGCTGACGAACAGGATCTGCCCGATGGGGAAGTACAGGAGCCAGTTCTCCAGGTGCTTGGCGTAAATGCCGATCTGGATGGCACTCCAGGAGGTGTCAATCAGGCCTGTAGTCCTGTTTTTGAAGGTCAGGCTCTCGAAGGTGGGGATGTCCGGCTTCTTGGACAGCGTCTGCGTGTAGTCCGAGATGGCTCTGGTGACCGGATCCCTCACCACCACAATGAGCTTGGTGCCCTTCGACATGGCAGAGATCCGAGCCGGGGCTTCCTTGGTGACAAAGTAGCTGGGCGTCTTCTCCATGGTGATCTGCCCATCCAGAGTTCTTGGCATCAATTCTCTGCCAAACAAGAAGAAGAAATGGCAGACTAATTAGAAAACAGAGAGGCATTAATTGCAGCAGTCTTGAACCACTCTTGGCGCTGAAAGATCTCTGACTCAGCCAAGGAGCAACAGAGCATCATTTCAGACCAAGCATACAATGAACCAAAAGGCCAAACTGTACCCCAGGGTGTGTTTTGTAATGGCATAAATTGACCTTGCTCAGATAATGTATGAGCTCCGGAAGGATGGGTACCTTCATTAATTTGTGGAAGAACTAAAAGGAGCCATTAAAGATGGTTAATACTGAAATGGAAGGTGCAGGGGGGATGTGCACAAGCCTAGTTTGTGGTTTCAAGGAAGCTGAGCTACCTCTATATTTGAGTTCTCACAGAGTGCCCAGAACCTTGGCCCTTTCGGTCAAGTTCTCTAGATCAAGAACCTATAAGATATTAAGAGATGTTATGTACCGTACATACGATGCCAAGGGAATTCTCAGATCCTCTCTCTCAATGTAATGTCTCTTTTCCCTATGAAGATAATTCTTTAGTGGTTGGATATTAAATGCTGCCACAACCACCCCCCTGCCCCAGTCTTTTATGACTGAGCTCTAAAATGTACTCAGAAGTGACCCACTGGATAATGTTGATCCGAACTGCAGGATGAGAGGATCTCATTGGTGTTGAGTGGGAGACAGGGACAGAGGGACAAGCAATGGGCTGAGAGACATGAAGATATTCTAATCAGAGCAAAGAAGTGCGGAACAGTCATCAAACTGAGCTCTTCCCCTTGGACATATACAACTCTTGCCGTGGGTTCCTATAATCACAATAATTCAGGAGAACTCTTTAACTCTTGGATTTCTACTTAACCAGAAGACTTTATTAGAACTGTGCCAGGTAAAATTTGTCCATGTTTTGGTGAAATCAGGCCCCCAGCCTAATTTCATGCAGCCCTCAGCAAAAGACCCTTCAGATGTGTGACAAAAGGGATTTGTTCTTCCCCTAGCAGCCCCACTGCAGAGGAAGAGAACAAGAAAGAGATGCCAGACCCTGGGGCCTGGCCAGTCACTGCCAGCATGCAGCCCTCACATTACTGCAAGGGAATGTGCTCTCTCTGGAGAAACAGTGCAAGTACTTTGGCCATAATTACCCACACCTACCAAGGAACTGCCATGTATTCCAAGCAAAGTGTGTGCAAAGAAGACAGGGAAGAGAAGGTCCAAGCCTGAGGCTTAGCACAGCTCATCTGCAGTTTCTTTCCTAATCCTGTTGCGTTTCATGTCATAGAAGTGGAGAATCACGCACCTGGAAGGAGCCTAGAAAGCCACTGGGTCCAACCCCCTGCTCAATGCAGTACTCAAGCCTTCCATTCTAACTCAGGGCTGGCCCTCAACTCTCTTCCGAAGGTCCCATCCTCACACCCCACCACCCCATGCATGTGAATGGAGAAAACGTACAGGGGGAGGAAGCAGCTTGTCAGGTGCCTCGGCTTGGCCTTGCAGTGGTTCCTGCCACTTTGGAGGCTCCGTATTGAGGTGACCACCTGGTCCACACTACTTCTGAAATGACGCAGGAACCCTACCCAAGTGGTGCTGTTTTCTAATTGGGGAAGCGGCTGCAGAAGGACAGCCCAGGAGTGCTTTTTGCAGGAGCACAGCACATGCCTCTTAGACCTTATCGCATTAGAGTTCCGGCTCATACAGTTCTAATCTCCCCCAAGTTCTTTTGTCTCCGAAACAGAGCCCTTAGATGCAGGAAGCAGAAGAGGTGGTTTAGTAGCACATGTTCCTTGAGAAACACCACCTCAGGCTTCTAATGTGAAAAACAGCTCAAAGACAGATACATTTACCAAGTCGGTTGACAGGTGGCCACGTGGTAATCCAATAGCTGAAAGCCCTAATGCCTTTGTGGCAGCTTTTTGTCTGCACAGAGGGATTCTCCACTAATCTGTTGACACTTCCCAATAAAGAAAATTGTGGTGTGGGGGAACTCTTGCTAGTGGAAGTGGGATGGGCAGGGAGGAGAGGCAGGGAGACGTTCTACCTGCTGCTGCTGAGTTGGGCTTACCGCCACAAGCTGCTGGGTCCCAAAATTGTGCTCTTTCTGCACCTCCTGCAAGGCCACAAGCTGCAGCAGCACAAGTGCCAGGTATCAGCACGGCAGCGATAATGCCGTTCTCGCAAGGTCGGTTTCAGCTCCGGGGCCTGGAGAGCCCCAGGGCAGGCCAGCGCTCATCAGGCCCCTCTTTCAAGGAGCCACCTCTCCACCACTGCCACCAGTTGCTCTCGCTCCTCCTCCGCCTCCTCCCTGCTACCATTTGCTTGTCCAACGGGCAGAGGGCCAGCGAGCGAGTACAGCAGGGTCGTGCACTGCCTCTCTTTCTCACCCCTACCAGTGCCTGGGCCAGGTGAAGCAGCAGCAGAAATGCCCAGGCAATCTTCCATTTAAAAAGGAAGTGGCCACAGACATCTGCATGTGGGATCTAGTAATATTTCTCCTAGTACCACAATCAAGAGTTGTTCTGTTTCATCCACACTGGAACTGCAAATTTTAAATTGCTGTCAATCATGGCACATTGAGTTGCCATATTTGCTTTTTGAAAGGGGAGACGATAGGCTCTCCATGGCAAAGAAGCTACTCTAAGTAGAGCGATGGAAGTCAAATAAATTGTATTTTAGGATTTAAAGCTGAAGATACTAAAAGAGTCTCCCTTCCTAGTTCTGTTCCCAGCAGCTTTGTACTCCCATATGCTCGCTGAGCTGGAGTGAAGGCAGAACAAACGAAATGTCTTGGATGGCATCTCCAGCTATTCCAAGAAGGGAAGAGCAGGATTTTAGGACAAATGCACAGGAGAAATAGAACCCAAGATGGCAAGATCTGAGAACTGGGCACCAGTAAGAAGCCAGTTCCTGGGGCAATATTATCTTTGTGTGGAGGGGGAAGGTCCTATGGAGGACCAGCCTTAGCTCTGCAAGCTTGTGGTGGATAGGGCAAGATAACTATTATTTCCCCTGTCATTGAGACACTTGGGGGGTTACGGCATCTCCAGGGCTGGCATAGCTCTGCACCAATTTTGTGTGAGAGGAAAATGAGGGAGGCTTGGATCCAGCAGCTTCATCACTGCCCCTGAACAACCCCTCCCCTCAAATGGCTCGTCTTGCCCACCACCACAAGCAGGACATCACACTCGGGAAGCTTCTGGTGGCAGTGCAGATGTCATCCTGGCCACGGACACCGTGACAACGGAACGGCACCTGCACAGCTTCCTGAGGCCCCTCAGTAGGCCTTTGACCGGCTGTGGAATTGCAGCCCTTGTTCTTATTTTCTCTTGAACACTAAAGACAAAATTCTGACAGATCCTGATGAAACCACCCAAGGAAAAAAGACAGTATTCTCTCAGTCACGGATCACTAGCCAAGGTACCAGCCTAGAAGGTCCATAGCAGCACTATCATCTACACAAAACTCTTACTTATGATGCGGCAGAAACTCCTATTTGTCTTCACACTCACTTGATGAGCTGCATCCTTGGTGTTCCAATTAAGGAATCGGAAAAGTGGTATCAAAGATCTCTGCCCATTGAGTCCACGAGTGGAACCAGAACTCAAAGAACTCACTCTGGCAAAAAACCAGTCGTCCAATATATTCAGTACAGTCCTGCTACCACTCTAGTCCTTGCTACAAATTGAAAGATAAAAAAAGCCAATGCTGCTGTCACCACTGCGGCCATGTCACTCGCCTTGCCTTGAAATAAGATCTTTGGATAAGTATTCACAAGAACTCAGCTAATCAATATTCTGCCTGTCAGACTGTGACTGGGAAGCAGCTAACTGGGAGTAATTATTTAATGTATGCTAGAGAAAATGGTAAGGCCCCAATTCAGGTCTGGACCACCGGACTCCAGGAGGAGGATTAAATCTCCCTGGAATTTGCTTCCCAAAATTCTGCCTTCCATTCTACACTGGGGTTTAAAGACTAGCCTCTGCTGGAATCAATGGCACCTCTTTTGCTCCAACTCTGCAGGGTGCAGCAGGGGACAGCAGCCTGGGAAGTGAACGGCTGGGAGAGGTTTCATCCTTCCCTTCCAGTGTGTGCTGGTTCTGACCTGGATGGTGCTGTGTGCAGCTACACTAATGAGAGGAAAAGCAGCGGGCGCAGTTACCTATGACACAATTCAGTCGTGTGCAGTTTGAGCCTAAAATGTTGACATTCCCCAAGATCCTTCAGAGGCAAGTAAAAGCAAGGGCCATTCTACTGCATATTAAGAACTGGGCTTTAAAGGGGAGCTCTCCATTAAATGGGGTTGAGTAGTGGGGGAGGGGGAGAGGCGGCAGCAGGGGATGATGGTGGAACCTCTGGAGGTTCAGGTCTTTAAGCGTAACTGAAATTAATGCCATGTAAATGACAGTGAGCAAAGTTGCATTTCTTCCTGCCACTTTCTAAGTGGCTGGGGAATAAAGAAACCATTACCCAAAGATTTCTGTCTGCCGTACTTCACCGGGTGTAGTTTATAACGTCTCTCTTCTGTTGTTTGAGAAAGAAATCAAAATCCTGGAAGTATTAGTGTCTTCCTGAACCAAGGATCTCAGCAGCTCAGTGAAACAAGCCAATAATTGCACTCTAAGGGGACCAGTTGCATCCCCCCAATACACACACACACACACACACACACACAAACACGAGTATGCACAAATGAGAAGGAGCAGCGGGGAAGTTTCAGCTGGCCAACTCTAGAGAACATCTCTACGCAAGGCCAGTTTTAACTTGAATAGTGAGCTGCTTTCCCGACTGTTTTGCAGCTGAGCCTAAGATGTGAGCATTCTGCAAGCTCATCACTAGCAGCACGGATAAAACATCCCTTAATTATGAACTGAGGCTTTTATTGTTTGGGACAGCAAAGCAATACCGCAGCTAAGAACCTGACTAGCCCAGGAGTTTCTGAAATAAATGTATGACCCTTAAGAATACTTTTGCAGGACAGATGCTTTTTTTTTTTTTTTTTAAAAGAATACAAAGAA